TTTGTCCTTAAAATGTTAGGTTTGGTGCTGCGCTGTGGGCAGGTTATCTTCCACCTGCGGCGCTGGTATCTCTATGGGTGCCGGTTCCAGTCCCGGCTGCTCTTCTTCTGATCCAGCTCTCTGCCATGGCCTGGGAAAGCAGTGGATGACGACCCAAGCACTTGGGGCCCTGCACCCGCATGGGACACCAGAAGAAGTTCCTGACTTGGGAGTGAACCAGCAGGCAGAAGGCCTTTGTTTCTGTCTCTTCCTCTCTCTGTCTGTAACTCTACCTCTCAAATAAATAAATAAACAAAATCTTTTAAAAAATAAATAAATAAAATGTTAGGTTCAATCAAGGTTCAAGCACATTTCTAAGTAGAAAAGGGTTATACATGTGGGCCACAGTGGACTGGGGTCTTAGAAGGAGACAGTAATAGTAACAGCAGGAAGAAATCAAAGTAAACAACCACTTTAAATAAAGGAAGGAAGGGGGCAGAAAGACAATACAAAATCAATGTTCAATGTACAGACCCTCTCTCCACATATATGGATCAAATGTTCATTCTTGTTTTGTTTCATTCAAAAGACTTTCCTTGCAATCCTCATTTTTATAGGATGGTAGAATCAAAGTACTCTTAAGAAATACTAACTAGGGCCAGCACTTTGGTGTAGTGGGCTAAGCCTCCACCTGCAGTGCCAGGATCTCATATTGGCACTGGTTCGTGTCCCAGATGCTACACTTCCAATCTAGCTCTATGTTATAGCCTGGGAAAGCAGCAGAAGATGGCCCAAGTGCTTGGGATCCTGCACCAGCATGGGAAACCCAGAAGAAACTCTTGGCTCCTGGCTTTGGATAGGCTCAGCTTGGCCATTGCAGTCATCTGGGGAGTAAACCAGTGGATGGAAGATCTGTCTCCTCCTCCTCCGTCTGTGGTTCTACCTCTCAAATACATAACAAAATCTTAAAAAAATACTAACTTGAATCCCCCAATTTGCACTCCACAGATATAATTAAAAGAAACATTGATAGATTTGGGGGTCTAAAATGGAGAGTTCCATAACATAGTTTAGATAACTTTTGAAGACTCACCTGTAGGTTTAACTGAATAAACCCAATGGCCTCTCCTTTCTTCCACAGAATCTTAGCATAATCAGTACGGCTATGACACAGAAATGGGATCTCATTTCTCTCCATTTCCTGTTTTCTATAAATAATTCGATTCAACATATAGAACCACTCTCTCCCCAAGAGTGCTCACCTACAAAGAGAATCAAACACCAGACACAAGTTATAACATGGATCAGTTAGAAGATGCTATTTACCTTGCTCCATGCTCCCACACCTTTACTAGCATTCAAGATACTTCAACTATATTCAAAATCATTTCAAGCATGGATTAACACAGATATGAGACAAATCATTCATATCAATAGCAATTCCTTTCCATAGACATTTTTGCACGGAACACTGCTTCTCAATGGAAAACGAGGAAAAACAAGTTCCCAATGCATGGTTCACCCAGCATCTCTTTCAGCATCAAGTCTCCTTCCTGCTTCCAGCTGCCCAGATTCAAGGTCTTCCAACCCAACTGCAGCCCCTCTGTGTACGTCTTAACTCATTTTTACTCTATGCTTGACTTCACATTAAAAAAAAAAATCTTGGTGTTATCCCCTAAAGATGTAAAAGAACAATTACTTCAGTTGATGAGGGCAGTCATATTATGCTCTTAGGAAAGGAATCTGTCTCATCTTTTCCAGGTAAAACGTTCATTTAACCACCCTGCCCTCTGTTGACGACCCTGGGAGAAATCCCCACTCTCTCTCCCACTCCCCTAGATCAAGTAACAGAAGACACTACTAGAGAGAGGCAGAGCTAGTGAAATACACTTGGGCCAACCACGTCAAATCCTAACATCAAGGAGTAAGTTTCCTACTGCTAAAACCAAGAGTCCTGTCCATAAAGTCTATTTTCCTCAAGTTACCACAAAGGAAGCCAAGCTGGCCCTTTGATTAAATTAGTGGAGGAAAAATGGATTCGCATACACATAGTACTCTCAAAAATACCCTTAGCAGGAGATATCCCTTATCAAACAACACAGCAAGTGACAAGGAACCACCAGCTTACAACTACTTCCTTCCCAGTACAGCTCTGCACTGAGTCCTTCCTCATACTGAGCTGAAATCAATCTCCCAAAGACTGCCACAACACAGCGTTCAAACACATCTGAAGACAGCCATGATGTTACCTTAATTTTTAAATCTGAGATAGAGAACAATAGAAGGAAAAGGCTAATCTAATGCAATCTAGGGTGCTCTTGCCATTCCAGTCTTCTCCCTTGAAATCGCTCCAGATCCTTAATATTCTTTTCATGTTTGGCACTCAAGACATTATGATAAAAGCACTGAAGATACTGCTGGGAGAAAGAGGCTTTCCATATAAACTTAACATTTTTATTAATTGTGCCTACATTCATTTTACTTCTAATTAAGCAAAGCCCAAGTCTTTTGTATATGCTGTTTCAGTTTGGTTTTCATGGCGCTCACATAAAATTAATCTTTTTGAACCTATTGTATCATGTTATCCTTATTTAATTTTAATTTTAAATATCCTTATTTTTTATGTTAGATCCTCTGTTTTTAATTCTGTTTTCCACAGATTTTTTTCCCCATTCAGCACTGTGGTATGCAGGATGAAGTCGTCATCTATGTTTTCCTTTAAGTAGCTGATAACCTGGTGACCAGAACAGGGAAAAAAAAAAAAGACAAAGAGTTCTGCTATTAAAGACGTCCCTTCCATTCAACTGGGCAGTAGGTTTCAGGCACAGGGTTACGATCCTTATTACCTTGCTTCATTTTCACCACAACATGTGAACAGGAGGAATAAGGTTTATAAAAATAAATCACTTTCTCAAAGTCATGTGTTTGTTAATAGAATGGTTGCTCTCTTCTGTAGCTTAATCAACCATTTTTTTCCTTGTTAACCAGGATTTGACCAAAATAACAGTTCTCCCTTCACTGATTCCTCTACTTCTCAAAAGGTGGTTCAGCCACAAAGGCATTGAAGTTGAGGAAGACCTTACAGCAGAAGTCCAAATAGCTATTTTTGGTTTTGAAGCCTTCTCCCTTCTCAGTTGAGGACAGGGTACAACATATTATCATAGTAAGATGTCTCCTTTAGCCTTCACATTCAAATGTCGTCTATGATGAGCAAACCTCAGTCACATTTAAGTACTTTGGAGTGTTTACTTTCTTGAAATAGATACTTCCTTTTTGCTATCTATCAGAACTTTCTAAGGACAAATTCTATTCCTCTATGCTATCTAATCCTCCAATTTTATGGTTTTATGCAGATTTTAAATTCCCTCCTCCCTTTTATTTTTAGTTTAGAGTTCTATATCAGATCTGCAGATAACCAGGTGTACATATTTTCCTAGTCCTTGGGCAATGAGCTCACTAGCCTACAATCTTAAGATACATCTGAGAATTAATGTGGTACCCAAAGTAACTGCAGTAACTGTAATATTCTCCTCAGATCATTTCCTCCCTTTGCACTTGGAACTTTGAAAGACTTCCAGACACAAAAGGAAGAAAATGAAAATACCCCTGTAACTTGAAAGGTTCTCAGTTTTCTATACTGGATGTCAACATTTCTTGACATGCTTTCCTTGTTTCTTCTGAGTCAAGTGTCCCACCATAATGAACTGTCACAGCTGGCACCTAGCAGATTTTACAAGTTATTAAATGTTTGGCCTATTTTAGAAATATTCTAAAAAAGACTATTGAGATATATATTTCTGTTAATTCTACCCCTCAGCAAGGATCCCTGCACCTATGAATGAGTAGTAGTCTTTTTCCAAAAAGTTTGTTAGTCTCACGAGTCTAATATACTTCTAGCAAGTCAAAATTCTTATCCCTCCACTGTTACTGTAAATCATTCTTACAGTTGCTAAAGATGTCAACAATTTATTTCCTTCCCTGCCTCCTGAAATATTTTCTTCATTTCTACAGATCTCCCCATGTGTCCTATTTATCCTCTAACAACGAAAGCACCAGATATGTCTCTTATATTTGCCTCTAGCATAAAAACCAAAATACCTCCTTTTTAGCTATGCTAGTATTTATATATTTTGATAAGTTTTCTATTCTTTCCAACCCTAAAACCAAAAGTCTACAACACTGTTCAGCATTGGCTGAGTTCTATTACACCCTGCAAAGGGTGGAAGCTTGCTCTCTGAACAACCTGGTCACTATATGGTTCAGAACGCTGTAGAGATCTGAGGAGGCCTTGCTAACAGACAAAACTTTCCCGGTCAGTCTCTTGGGGACAGATAAGCAACCACAGTGATAGAACTAGCTTTTTCTTTACTGAAATAAGAAAACTAAAAGCTAAAATATATAAAAAGCAGACACTGTTCCTCACCCAATTCTCAGATATCTTTAGAATCACATAAATTGGGAAGCCCAACCCAACAGCCAGTTTCATCAGAATGAAATTCTGGGAATTTAATTTAACCTGATTATACTGAAATAGGGAACAGGTTGACAACATTAAGAGTTATCACTGCAGAGGGAACATTGTGAGATGGCCTCATAAGAAATATTTCTGTTAAAAACCACAGGATCTTGTTACCTGCTTGAGCCCTTCTCTTGAAGGGATAGATGTTTTCACAATATCATCAATTGCCCACCACTGATCAGCAAGGTAAAGTGCCACAGCTAAAAGAGAATGAGTCATCATTAACATTTAAGTCTTAAAGTATACAATATTATTGTGACTATCTACAAGACACTTTTAAATACGCCTACATCTTTATACTTTATAATGTAGCCCATTTTATAACATTTCATTTTACCCATTAAACATTTAACTATAAGCAACTGAGAATCAGATTTTCCTGAAATAAATGAAGTAAGTTTTTAAAGAACAAATCCTTCATGTAGCTACTTTTTTAATGAATTCTAACAGTTTGGAAAAAATGGTTCCTCAATTTACAAAAATTAAGCAAGAAAAAAGAGACCTGTGAGTGAACTCCTCAGGAGCAAAGAGAGCAAGAATTTTCTGAGTTTGATCTCCACCATAAAGAGGCACGAAGCCTACATTTGACAGGCTAATAGGAATCTGAAATGACAATTGATTTAAAGATTAGTGAAGAGTCTGTGAGGAAAACATAACACAAACACCAATCATTTACCAAGGATGAAACTTTTCCTACATAAATTTTAATTATGTAGCTTTCTCACTAGGAGATGACATTTCTAATTTCTTTACAAAAGTCGGGGGAGAGGTGTAAATCAAGTAGACTTCCCTTTTGGAGGAATTTGATCTTTTAGGTGAAAAATGAGTAAAAGCAAAAGCCATGGCATGGCTCACAGAGTCACTAGAAAAACAAGCAATAATTTGTAGTCCCTTACTTTTTTTTTTTTTTTTTTTTTTTGATAGGCAGAGTGGACAGTGAGAGAGAGAGACAGGTCTTCCCTTGCCGTTGGTTCACCCTCCAATGGCCGCCGCTGCAGCCGGCGCAGCGCGCTGATCCGATGGCAGGAGCCAGGATCCAGGTGCTTTTTCCTGGTCTCCCATGGGGTGCAGGGCCCGAGCACCTGGGCCATCCTCCACTGCACTCCCTGGCCATAGCAGAGAGCTGGCCTGGAAGAGGGGCAACCGGGACAGAATCCGGCGCCCCGACCGGGACTAGAACCCGGCGTGCCGGCGCCGCAAGGTGGAGGATTAGCCTATTGAGCCACGGCGCCGGCTCGTAGTCCCTTACTTTAGACTACACGAGGAGTATATTCCATTTTCTGGTGAATGTTAGGTCATTTTTTTCCAGTAAGATACATTCAATACTTTTAACACTTTTCTGCCTTCATTAATCCAACAGTAATTCCCCATTTAGAGACTTCGCTACAGTTCAGAGAATTATAAAATAGTGGTGCTAAAGAAATCTTTTTCATCATCTTTAACCTGACATAATTTCCAGAAGAAAAACCCGAGGCCTAGAAAGGGTACAGAATTCGCAACCTCAGTTCTCAGTGGAACTCTAGTGATCTCAAGTCTACTGATCCACCATAACTCTATCATGGCTACTGACCAAAAGGTGTGATTTCACCACTGTAGAAAAAGAAACAAGATTCATGACACAAAAATGTGCAGTTTTGCTGTTATTTTTTAAATTTCTGAAGAAATTCCTAAACTCAAAAATTCCAATCTAAACATCAGTTTGCACAAATATGGCAACAAGCCTTACCAAAACTGATAAACTTCTTAGGTATAATTTTAAAGGCAAAAAAGGATAACTATTATCAATACCTGTGGAATTTATCTTCTTAAAACTGATTATGGTGCTTTATTAACTAATATATGATTTTTCTGAATCAATTTCTGAAAAGCATTTTAAAAGTGAATGATTAACACTTTAAAATGAAAATAAGAGGATACTGATTTCATGTACAAAAATGAGCATGAAAGGATAAAAATCACTGCAGAATGCCTCACCGTAACATTGAGAAGAGAAAAGCTCTCTGGATTTTCAGGATCCCCACACCTTAAATCTGACATGTAATCTTCAGCAGCAGTTTCCAGTTCCTCATGACTGCAATTATCCAGCATATCCACAGGGAACGCCATTCTCTTTAACAAAACAACATGAAACAAAACATTTCACAATATGAAATACTACCTGTCTGTACTCAGAAAAATTTTACTCAATATTGCCATATTTTATTGTATGATTTTATTCATTTATTTGAAAGGCAGAGTAACAGAGAGGGAAAGAAAGAGAGACAGAGTTAGAGACAGAGAGAGAGAGAGATCCATTTTTCATCCGCTAGCTCACTCCCCAAAAGGTCAGAACAACTGGTGTGTTAGAGGCCTTCGTCTTTTAATTAAACTTGTTTCTAACATGATTAAAGTTGTGGTAGAGGCCTTCTCAAGGTCAGAAGAAGAAAAAAAGGGAGGAATCTGTCCTGGGAATGAAACGCAGTTATTATCTACTTGACTGTGAAATTACTATCTGCTTGAGTTCTTGCTTGTTAGCCCCAAGCGGTGGTGTTAACCCTTGATAGACAGCATACAGCTCAGTACCTGTGTAAAAGAAACATATCAGTGAATATGAGTGCATGAGCAGTAGTGTATCAGTTCCTATAGTTGCCATGTAACATCAGAATATCCAATCAAATGTATGCATGTAACCATACAAAGACAAAGAAGCTAAAACCTTATATAAAGAAACACCCCTCTTTTTCAAGGCTCAGGCTTTTGGATAAAAATCCAACTAAGCCTTATGCTGGCATAAAGATAACAACCACAATAATAACAATAATTTAAAAAATACTACTTCTGGGTCTGGCGCTGTGGCGTAGAGGGTAAAGCTACCACCTGCAGTACTGGCATCCCATATGAGTGCAGGTAGGAGTCCTGGCTGTTCCATTTCCCAATCCAGCTCTCTGCTCTGGCCTGGGAGAGCAATGGAGGATGGCCCAAGTCCTTGGGCCCCTCACCTGTGTGGAAGACCCGGAAGAAGCTCCTGGCTCCTAGCTTAGGATAGGCCCAGCTCCGGACATTGTGGATATTTGGGGAGTGAACCAGCAGATGGAAGACTTTCTCTCTCTCTGGTTCTGCCTCTCTGTAACTCTGCCTTTCAAATAAATAAATAAATAAATCTTGAAAAAAAAAAAAAAAGTACTTCCTGTTAAAGGACTTGGTGTCTCATCTCTGTTCACAAATCCTGCTATACCAGGCTGAAGCCAGAAGCTGAGAACTCCACCTTGGTCTCCTGTGTAGGTGGCAGGAGCACAAGCTTTCCTAGGCACATTAGCAGGGAGCTGGATCTGAAGGAGAGCAGCTGTGACTGGAACCAGCACTCCGATACAGGAAGCTAGCATCTGAAGCAGCGGCTTAACTTTCCATGGCACAATGCCAGCCTTATCATATTTTATTAAAAGGTACTTCTAAAATTCACTGTAGGAAAACAGACAATTAAGCCTGCCAATTGAACCATGTTTGTCAAAAAGAAACTTTCAAACATTATTCATTTGTATTAAAAACAGGCAATAAAACCAGAATTAATACTCATTGTTGGTAAAAATATTTATAAAAGTATAGGACATATATATATATGCACATATACACAAAATATACATAAATATATTCTTATATAATCTTTAACATAAGAGTCACCATAATGATTTTAAAATGATTAAAACTGTCATAAAACTGGTAAAGGTTGCACAACTCTATAAATTTACTAAATAAAAAATCAAGGCCAGGTGGGTGATGGTTTAAGTGCATGGGTCCCTGCTATCCATGTAGGAGACCCAGATGGAGTTCTAGGTTCTCCTCTTTTGCCTTGCCCAGCCCCAGCTGTTGCAGACATCTGGGAAGTGAACCAAAAGATGGATGGATAGATCTCTCTCCCCCTCCATCCTTTCAAGTAGATAAAAATAAACATTTAAAACAAGAGAAATACACATTGAATTGTAACGTGTCAATAGGTGAATCCTGTAGTAAATTTTATTTCATATACATACATGGGGTGAGGCTTCTAAAAATTTGTGGAAAAATGGAATTAACAGATAAGCAAATTTCATAGGAGCTTTTAAAAGCCCCTCTGGTGTGTGTGTGTTTAAAAATAAAAAACAGCCAGCACTTTAACAGAGAAACATTAAAAGCTTTCCCACTAAAGTGAAGAAAAATAAGTCTCCAAGTACTACACGATGTTATGCAGCACTGGCCAATGCAACTGGATGAGAGAAAGCAGTAAATGGCACAACCATCGATCTGTCCTAAACTTCAATAATTTGCATACCACCAGCAACATTTTTTTCTGTGTCAATCGTGTAAACCGTTAGTCAATACTTTTCTCAATTTACTTTTTAAAAATCACACATTCCTCTCATCCCATTCCTACTCAATTTCTTAAAATTGTGGTAAAAAATACATAATAAAATTTACTATTTTAACTGTACAGTTCAGTAGCAGTAAATTCTAAATGTTGGGCAACCACATGGTACCACTATCCATTTCTAGAAATTTTTAGTTATCCCAAACAGAAAATATGTACCCACTAAAAACTTGAAAGGCAAAAATGATGGCTCAATTAATTGGTTTCCTGTTGTTCATGGTGGGAATCCTCCTGGCTCTGGGCCTGGCCCAGCCTCAGCAGTTGTGGGTAATTGAGAGAGTGCAGTGAATGAGTACTTGTTTCTCTCTTTCTTTCTCTTTCTCTCTCTCTCTCTCCTTCACTTTTTTTCCCTCCCTCCCTCCTCCACTTTCTCTCCCTCTCTCTCAAATAAGAAATAAAAATATCTCTTAAATCACTTTAGGTATGCCGGCACATGTTAGACAACATTGTACTATAGTATGGGGTTGTTTATCACAAGAAGACTTTACTACAGATCAAAGCCAAATGGAAAACGACTAAAGTGTGGAAACAAAAAGTCATCACATTTCATTCTTAAATATTTTTAAATTGAGGCTTTTAAATGCAAAATAATAACTTCTGGGCTTATTTTTATTTTTAGCCAGATTATACCTTTATTTATATACAAAATTTTACTTAAATACAAAATAATAGTTTCTCTGAGTCTGACAATTAATATACTCTAAAATTTGCATACAGAATAAAACCCCACTTAATTATAAGTTGTGATTAAACAAGTATATTTATTGTAAGTTTTACTATGAAAAAAATAGAAAATATTTCTCTAATTCCAAAGGCCTAATTCATATACACAAAAACACACATTCTAAAACATTTTTGTTTGCAAATCTGCTCTTAAATCCATTTTTTTATTACCAGTTCCTCACAATGCTAAATTTTATCAGAACTTAGAGGAAATAAACCAGAGATTACTATAATTCAGTAAGAGCAGCAGTTAACATTTACTGAGAAGTGTCATCCACGTACTAGGCTTTAACAACAATGTCATATTTAATATTCACATATAACAAAGTATTTATACCAGCTCCACTACTGAGAAAGAAACAGCTTTAGAGTTTAAGAGACATGTCTAACGTTACATCACTACTGGAGTTAGGCTAGGAACCCAGGCAATCAGATACACATACCAATATAATGACCGTTACTCAATATGAAAACCAAGTATCATAGTATTTATTGCAGTTCTATAAAATTTCCTTCTATAAAATACTATAATAGTTACCTTATTATTAAATATTCTATGCACGTACTATACTAGAACGAGTACTGCGATTGGGAATCTGTGACCTTGGTTCCTGGGTCAGTTCTGCCACTAACAAGCTTTCTGACTACAGGCAAAATACTTACCCATGGAAATAAGGGCCACAACTGGACAGGATAATTCTGAAGACCTTTCAACTTCTAAATGCTTATCATTGCTTTTTAAAATCTTGGTGAATTTTAGACTACTAACCTTTTGGCAGATATGACAATTTAGAAAGCCAAGAATAGAGCGGTAAGGTTCCAGAGAGAAATACAGGTTAGGATAAATCTCTTGGTTCCCCCTCCTCTTCTTTGTTGTTTTTAAGCTTCTGTTCTATGTTACATAATTGTAAAGCTGTCAGATCAAATTTTGTCAAGCACTTTATGCTCTACCCATGCGATAAACTAAAAAGCCTAAATAGCTTCTACATGAATGAAGAAGCTTAGCACAGCCTCAAGCAAACTAACTCATCAAAAAAACTGACACAGAATGGACAGTGAAGTGTAAAAAGTGTCCAGAATAATTTATAAATTAAGCAAATGAGTATGTTCATCAATCCTGGCTAACCTGTACAAAGGCATAATATTCAGACTGCTTACATAAGAGCTCTAAGAGCTCTTATCAGCATCAGCTGCATTGTATCCATCTTTTACTGCTATCCCTTTTTTTTTTTAAATAATTATTTGAAAGAATGACTGCTCTTAACAACAAAATACATGAAAAACATTTGGAAAACAAATCCCTGTTAATGTGACTTTTCCTTATTTATTGATTACTGGATATCAACTATACCCTCTAAAAATGGAAACCTAAGTTCAGTTCCTAAAGTATTTCATGATTCTTCTTTTCTTTTGAGAGGCAGAGACAGGGAAGGACAGCTCCCATCCACTGCTTAATGCAAAATGCTATGGCTGAGCAAGTACCATAGCTGGTAGCCAGGAGCCAGAAGCCATGAATGCAATCCAGGTTTCCCACATGAATAGCAGTAACCCAATTACTTAAGCCATCACGGCAACCTCCCAGGCTCTGCATTGGTGGAAAGGCAGAGTCAGAAGCTACAGCCAGGAATGGAACCCAGACATTTTGGTGTGGAACATAGGCATCTTAACCACTAAACAGCCATTTCAATTTCAAGAGTCTTTATTGCTACTTTTAGGGCTATACAGAGGGGACCAGATTCAAAAAGAAGTATGGACAGTTTAGAGCTTAAAGAATTCTCGGCCGGCGCCGCAGCTCACTAGGCTAATCCTCTGCCTTGCGGCGCCAGCACACCAGGTTCTAGTCCTGGTCGGGGCACCGGATTCTGTCCCGGTTGCCCCTCTTCCAGGCCAGCTCTCTGCTGTGGCCAGGGAGTGCAGTGGAGGATGGCCCAAGTGCTTGGGCCCTGCACCCCATGGGAGACCAGGATAAGCACCTGGCTCCTGCCATCAGATCAGCGCAGTGCGC